GAGAGAGAGAGAAAGAGAGAGAGAGAGAGAGAGAGATATCTGTGCGAACGTGAGTGGGTCTGGCGATGATGTAGAAGAAATATGTAGGCGGTAAGCTTGAGCAGACTGTGCTATCAGTTATTTGTTGTTTCTCTTGACGTGAGTTCGGAAAAATTCGGTGGAGTACACAATGGGCGAGTCAGAGATGATGATGAATGGTTGTGGTATCTGTAGAAGGTAATGTGTTTATTGCTGCTGTTCTCTGTAGCCGTGGTGGTGCTGTTGAGAGTTTGCTGTTCTGTGTAGCGGTCGTGGTGGTGCTGTTGAGTTGAGCTGTTGGGGTAAGGTAAATTAGGTGTTCCAGAGAGCTGTTTGGTGGTGCTAGCTGAGCGTTTAGTCGTCTTGGAATTGACAAGGGGTGTCTTCAGTTGTCGGATTAGTTCTCCCGTTCTCCGGTATAGATCGTGAAGCGCATAGAACTTGCTGTTGAGCAGGGATTTGGGCTATACAAATGCTATCTATTATTATTATTAATATTCTCCCTGTGAATTCTAATTCTAACAGTGTCAGTTACAAAGTTCAAAGTGTTCGGGTATGATTCAAAGGAGTGAGTAGGCCTATGAGTGAGTGTATTAAAAGTTGCCTACGCATAGAAATTAATGATTTTATTGACTTTAAATTTAGATTTTTCTTCTTCTTCTATTTTTTTGTCTCTTCCTCCCCTTCCTCCTACTTTTATTCATTTCTCCTCCTCCTTCTCCTCCTCCTTCTCCTCCTCCTCCTCCACCTCCTCCTCCACCTCCTCCTTCATCTCCTCCTCCTCCTCCTCCACCTTGTTCGCTTCATATTCCTCCCTCTCCTCCTCTTTTACTCAATCTCCTCCTCCACCTCCTCCTCTTCCTTCTCCCCCTCCTTCTCCTCCTTCATCTCCTCCTCCTCCTCCTCCTCCTCCACCTTGTTTGCTTCCTATTCCTCCCTCTCCTCCTCCTTTTACTCAATCTCTTCCTCCACCTCCTTCTCTTCCTCTTTCTCCCCTCCTTTTTTTGTTTTTGTTCTTCTGGAACGCTTTAACACCAATCGTTTTATGATTAGCCATCACATCACTGTAGCTGTCCGCCTATCTGCTGGTTGCTAGTTGGCATTGTTAAAATGAGTCGATCGTCAAACGGAGGAAACATACGTCACTGAAAAAATGACAGACCTAATCAATAAGCTTTTACTGGAATGGACTTTCCATTACATGGTGTCTTGTTTTTGTGTTCTTTCGTGGGGGGGGGGG